TATGGCCAAAGGCCTAGGCTACATACCCCAAATACTTACCTGTTAGGGCCAGACTCCTGGGCCTGGGGTAGAGCTCGAGGCTTGGAATCAGGAATAGATTCCTTTAAGGGAATACGACCAAGAGCCTAGAATCATACTAGTCTTGGCCTGTCACACAATAATTTACTTAGCTGTGGGAGCAACACATCTAGTTATCAGTCGAGAAGGGGGCTCGACCTAAAGCATGTTCCAATGCTGGTTTCCCATGGAAAAAACGCTCGCAGTGCACGGCGATTGCCCCCTCGGAGACATCGCGTGCGTGCTCTTCGCCCAAACAAATAACGCATAGATCGTGTGTGTCATCAGATGTTAAACAACGTCAACACGAATGCACACATCCTAAAACGCTCTGCTAGTGCTCGCCATAATGAGATTTTTTGAATAGAGCTCGCTCTTACCACAGAAATGCACGCTTCAAACAAAACAGTCAATGAAGACGAAGAAGAGAATGATGTGTGCTCCCGGCGCCTATTTATACTATAGTCGCACCGGTAGTGACGTCATGGCTGTCGCCGGCCAACGAGTTGGTGTTTTTTTCAATGTATGCTTCAGACACGGGTCACGACGAGGCGTTCCCCCATAGCGACCCCTAGAGGACGCAGTTCGAAGTTCCAATGAAAGGGAACTACATTACCCATAATGCTGTAGAAAATTTCACCAATCAGAGAACTGCAGTGTCTTGTTAAGCTGTAAAAATATTTATATATTTGTATATTTATTTGCATATTTTGCAATAAACTTACAATATATTATTTCTATAGATACAATCAACAACTTTAAATGAAGAGTTCTATATTTTTCTGTTGTTTTTAATTCGATAATGTCATTTGCAATGCTTCATGGGATTGTAGTTCTTTCCCTCACTAAAGCTGTTAAGCTGTTAAGTACACAGTGTTCTACCTTTTTCTTTTTGTCCAATTTTCAAAAACTTTTCTTCAGATAAAAGTTTGAAATGTTTGTAATAACTTGGTTCATGGTTTATAAGTGCTATAACAAAGACTTTTTAAAATTCCTATGGGGAAAAAAAAGAAGAAAAAAAAACTCAGAAACCTACACCGCTGAAAAAGTGGACACTTTGCACTCTATAGAGCAAGCAACCACCTAGCAACCACCCAAAACACCCTAGCAACCGCTTACCTCTCAGAACACCACAGCAACTGTCTAGCGACGCCTGTTATTGTATATAATTTTTCATATACCGCATTCAAATGACAGCCTAGGAGTTATATATAAAAAAAAAAACTCACAAAAATGTCGTCCTGTGCCAGAAGGTTTTCTACAAAGCACTGCTGTACGAAAGACACAGAAGTCTTCAGAACAATGAATGTGGTGAAAAAGAAGTAGAAATAAACCTGTCTGTCTATCTATCACACACACACACATATATGCATTTTCAGTTCAGTTCTACATGGCACACAACCCGGTAACACACTGACCTGCATTCTAGGATATTCCTCAGTGTCACACAGTACACAGATGTTCAGATGACAGCAGGAATGAAGATCACTCAGGTGAACCATGTCAGTATAATTCAGACCTACTGATGCAGCCAACTGATACACACCTGATAAAATCAATGCATACCACGGCCAGACGCAGACACACACACACACTTCATGCCCTCCAGGATTTCTAGAGAGCAGGAGGGGGAAGAGGACCCCACCGAAATCTTCCAGGGCATGTAACACCTGCGTGATGTTTGCAGAGAAAAGCAATGAGGAGGAAAAGCGAGAGCTTTAATTAGTGTTTGCGAGAAAAGAAAACCTGCAGCATATGGATAAGATTTCACAACCATGTTTGTTTTTAGAAACGGTGATAAAATCAGATGTAGCTCATATCTCGCCACACAGAAAACGCCTCTGTGACACATGCCATTCTCTTCTCTCTGCTGGTTGTTCATGAGATTCAATTTCTCCCCACCGCCCTCTTCAAGATAATGATCAGGAGACCATGTCCATCACTGGAAATATCTCGAGATCTTCCACAAGCTCTATTTCAGATTATAAAAAATGGTGAAAATCAATAGAAAATAACAATAGACTGTATAATTCCATGTTTTCTTATTATTAAAATCCAGAACACCCTAGAAACTGCACAGCAACACAATGAAAACATACCAACCACATAGCAACACTTTACAAACAGCATAAACATTTACATTTATTCATCTAGCAGATGCTTTTATTCAAAGCGACAAAAGAGGAATACAACAACTGTTTCACAACCACAACAAACTCAGTCAAACATAACTTATTATTCATCTTTCAGCCATCATGGTATTGCACTGAATTACATCTGCTAAGTGAACATGTTTTGCCCCCACAATAAAAACTAGAGAGCTTTGAGAATAAAAATAAGCATTTAAATATCATCTTACAAAAACATATTATTGGAAGATATAGAGTGATCTCATAATTATATGCATTTTATGTAAGTAGTCTGTTATAAATATTTCATTGATTAACATTAGAAGCTATCAGAATTATCTTAATTTTGGCAGTGTAAATATCAGCAATTGCACCAAATTGCATATTTGTGCTTTTTTGGGGGCCTCTGAATATATATTATATTCTCAATATATATTAGCCATAAAAGCTTGACGTATCAAATATGATGCTAAATAAAAATCAAACTTTAAGATTTGATTTAATGGCTCAATACATTAAAAACAGATTTTGCTGACATTTATTTTATATGTCAGGTTTTAGATGGTTAAATATCCAGCTTTTTGGCATAGGATTTTGGACCAATGAGATTCCACTGGGGGCGGAGCTACCTAGTGCAAATATTAGTTAAGACAAAATATATACAAAACAGTATGCAAGGAAATCATTAAGAAAAACTAATTCATGCTACAGAGACAACACTGAAAGTATTGTGTTGATGTGTTTTATTTCTGCCGTTTGAGTCAAGTTGCACTAGAAGATAAAGCTCCTAAAGCACTTGCTTATTTCACCGTCACAGACTCACATAAACTCGCATGTTTGTGTAACCCAGTACAGATGAAAGAACTTCAGAGGAACAAGAAAAAAGGCCAGATTCGGAACATCTCGCTCTGAACTCACAATGACAGCTCTGTCAATGAAGAAAGGGTATCTGTGAACGAAGAAAAAATCATTACCAAATGCTGTGACAGAGCTGTCAGGTGAAATGTATCGTGGGTAATACTGTAGTGTGAACTTTCCACTGCCATTTAACTGAGTGAATCTCACAGTGTGACGCTGCATGACTGTGTCATCCAGCAAAACTCTTTTTATAGGGACATACAGGAGTGCATGATGGGCCATTCAAAGGCTTTTTTCCTCGTGGGTGAAATGTTTAGCCTTTTTACATCTATTTGCCAGAAAAATATCTATAATGTAGTTTGACTGTATATTTGGGATTTAAATAATAAAACATGCATGTCGAGTGAGCTCAGGTTTAACGCTGATATTTTTTGTTCATTCATAACTTACCACTATGAAGTTGTAGGTGTTGCTGTGCACTTGCGAAGGTGCTTCTTTGATGTTTTGGTCCCGAGCCCCTTCAAAGACAAAAATAAATAAATTAAATAAACAGTGAGACCACTCAGTAAAGTAAGCTCACAGCAACAGCTCACCTCACCAAAACACATGATTGGAGAACTGATGTGGAGCACAAATGCTGCAGGATGACTTTCTCACCGCGGTTGAATTTTTAATACTTAGGGTTTTGAAGTCTCCATTGCTCTGCTTTGCTTTAATTCTAAACCCTAAGTCTGTTTTAACCCTATTTTGTTTGTTTGTTCAAGACTTTTTCTGAGTAACACTCTCCCTCTAGACCAAACTTTTTGTACAGTATTCATTCAAACCTTTGGGAGATGCTTTGCTGTTTACCGTCTACTGAATATACAAGTGAGGTCAAATTGATTTGTATAGCGCTTTTCATAATATGAAATAATATAATGAAATTAATGCCGCGATTTCAATATTCATATTATTCATCTTTCAGCCATCATGGTATTGCACTGAATTACATCTGCTAAGTGAACATGTTTTGCCCCCACAATAAAAACTAGAGAGCTTTGAGAATAAAAATAAGCATTTAAATATCATCTTACAAAAACATATTATTGGAAGATATAGAGTGATCTCATAATTATATGCATTTTATGTAAGTAGTCTGTTATAAATATTTCATTGATTAACATTAGAAGCTATCAGAATTATCTTAATTTTGGCAGTGTAAATATCAGCAATTGCACCAAATTGCATATTTGTGCTTTTTTGGGGGCCTCTGAATATATATTATATTCTCAATATATATTAGCCATAAAAGCTTGACGTATCAAATATGATGCTAAATAAAAATCAAACTTTAAGATTTGATTTAATGGCTCAATACATTAAAAACAGATTTTGCTGACATTTATTTTATATGTCAGGTTTTAGATGGTTAAATATCCAGCTTTTTGGCATAGGATTTTGGACCAATGAGATTCCACTGGGGGCGGAGCTACCTAGTGCAAATATTAGTTAAGACAAAATATATACAAAACAGTATGCAAGGAAATCATTAAGAAAAACTAATTCATGCTACAGAGACAACACTGAAAGTATTGTGTTGATGTGTTTTATTTCTGCCGTTTGAGTCAAGTTGCACTAGAAGATAAAGCTCCTAAAGCACTTGCTTATTTCACCGTCACAGACTCACATAAACTCGCATGTTTGTGTAACCCAGTACAGATGAAAGAACTTCAGAGGAACAAGAAAAAAGGCCAGATTCGGAACATCTCGCTCTGAACTCACAATGACAGCTCTGTCAATGAAGAAAGGGTATCTGTGAACGAAGAAAAAATCATTACCAAATGCTGTGACAGAGCTGTCAGGTGAAATGTATCGTGGGTAATACTGTAGTGTGAACTTTCCACTGCCATTTAACTGAGTGAATCTCACAGTGTGACGCTGCATGACTGTGTCATCCAGCAAAACTCTTTTTATAGGGACATACAGGAGTGCATGATGGGCCATTCAAAGGCTTTTTTCCTCGTGGGTGAAATGTTTAGCCTTTTTACATCTATTTGCCAGAAAAATATCTATAATGTAGTTTGACTGTATATTTGGGATTTAAATAATAAAACATGCATGTCGAGTGAGCTCAGGTTTAACGCTGATATTTTTTGTTCATTCATAACTTACCACTATGAAGTTGTAGGTGTTGCTGTGCACTTGCGAAGGTGCTTCTTTGATGTTTTGGTCCCGAGCCCCTTCAAAGACAAAAATAAATAAATAAAATAAACAGTGAGACCACTCAGTAAAGTAAGCTCACAGCAACAGCTCACCTCACCAAAACACATGATTGGAGAACTGATGTGGAGCACAAATGCTGCAGGATGACTTTCTCACCGCGGTTGAATTTTTAATACTTAGGGTTTTGAAGTCTCCATTGCTCTGCTTTGCTTTAATTCTAAACCCTAAGTCTGTTTTAACCCTATTTTGTTTGTTTGTTCAAGACTTTTTCTGAGTAACACTCTCCCTCTAGACCAAACTTTTTGTACAGTATTCATTCAAACCTTTGGGAGATGCTTTGCTGTTTACCGTCTACTGAATATACAAGTGAGGTCAAATTGATTTGTATAGCGCTTTTCATAATATGAAATAATATAATGAAATTAATGCCGCGATTTCAATATTCATAAGGATTCATTTTTAGGTGTCGTCAATACGTCAGTTTTGTACGTTTAAATGCTGAAAATACGTAAGTACTTGTACGTTTAGATGCTGAAAATATGTCAGTATTGTACGTTTTAGTGCCTGTAAAAACGTAAATAAATGTACGTTTTATAGAACCCCATTTTACGTAAAATACATACGAATTATCATGAGATCACGTTGCAGCGACTTGATTTGAAATGCTATTAAACACTGTGTGGAGTCATTCAACATGCCACACAAATAGCGTTGCTCACGAGAAGCACTTCTAACGCTCACAGTTAATTCCAGTTGGAGCAATCCTTTTATAAAAAAAAAAAAAAAAACATTGATAGAATACAAATACTGAATGAGCCATTTTCTCTTTTAATATAAAGGATGTAAAGCTTAACCAAGCTCATTGCAATATTCTACAATCTACAAAAGACATATGTGATTCTTATATCATACATACACAACTCAGTCATAATTGAAAATGTTCACCCATGTCCAACTACAAATGGATTTCTATGACAGAATTTTGACTTTCTGAATGCAATGTATATGCAATGTATAAGTTCATATAATGCCTAAAATTGTAATCTACAAATGTACCTTTTGTTCTTACGAGTCAATAGAGCGAAGAAAGCGAAGATTTCATACAAAAATGACCTCAATAAACTTACCTATATTTCCTATTTAAAACACCAATATACATCATCACTCATACTTACATGTAAATTAACCATGTCAAAACAGAGCACTGCAAAATTAATTTCCTATTAATTAAAACCGAAAGAGTTGTTGAGAGTCGAGTCAGAGGAAACACAATTAACAAGCATTTCCGACGCCCAGCATTGGCAGGCAAATAAAACATTGTGTTAATTATTCATCGGTAGGAAATAATGCTGGAATTACCCTGCTTTAACCTGACTACTGCTTAATTGTGTTCCAAAACCTCGTTATCTCCGAAGAGGTAAATAAGAAAGTGATTACAACTCATCAGCGCTGGTTTGTGTGGCCTCTCCAGGGCTGAGTGTCATCAGTGTTCGTTAGGTAATGAGCAGTGATTGGTATGAAATTACTTCTTCACCTCGTCTGTCTTCTGCATGCTGCTTTATGCATACTTACCAGTGCATGACTGCCAGACAGCATCTGAAGAAGAATCACCACACAATGGAAGTGTTTGGAATAGAAAACTAGCGCTCTGCAGCATACTGTATACTGTAGTAGTGCGCGAAACAGTGCACAATATGCAACCTGTAGCATAAACTGATCACAGTCACCTCATGATGTTGCATGTTTAATTAAAATTGGTTTATAATACCCGGAAAAGCTATCCATTAACATTCATCTTAATGGTGGTTGTTTAGCGTAGGACCTCTGGAAGTATCATACTTGAAATCTGCCATCTTTGCACATGGTTGCTGAAAAGGAAGAAATAAATATTAAATTAAGTTCATTTCAACTCAAGCTAATAAAATAAAATAAAAAAAATATTTGACCCCTTAGTTTAATATAAACAATTTAAAAAGTACAGTTTAGTATTTCTAATCTACTTCATTAGTTAAAAATTGTATTAATTTCAAGCTTTTAGGCGCCCTATAAAATTAAATACAACAAAATAAATCAATAAAAAAATTTAATAAAACATAAAAATAAATAAAATAAAACCAAGAAATCAATCCTTGCCGCTTTAGTTTAACACACACACACACACACACACACACACACACACACACACACACACACACACACAA